CCTGTGAGCCTGTGAGCCCTGTGAGCCTGTGAGCCCTGTGAGCCTGTGAGCCTTTGAGCCTGTGAGCCTGTGCCCTCTGAGTGTATGTAAATGCACGTGTAGAACCAGGAGTGTGGTGAGTGGTGAGTTAGGTGACTGTGGTCCGTGTGGACATTGTGCATGGACATAGGACACTAGATTTATATTGTTAACACTGATTACACTTTGGTCTGCGGAGTGTGGACGGGGGATACTGGACCGTGGAGTCTCTTGGACGGAGACTGGAGAGTGGAGACTGGTCACTGGAGACTCTTTAGACTTTCAAGAGTCCACTGGACAGCCTGGAGTCTGGAGACTATCTGTAATTTTTTTATTTTATAAAAAGGACTCGAAATGGTGGATTGCAGTCTGCAGGTCAGTCTGTTTGTGACTGAAGATTATTTAACAAAAAAACGAGTGGCGAGGCCGTATTTAGCCGTAGGCACGAGACCCCCGCTCCCCTCCTGTTTTTGTTTTTCAACAAAAAAAAGAAAAGAATGTTTAAAAGGGGCCCTGGAGGCCTGGACTCCTTGGGCGAGGGTCCTCTACCCCATTGAACTCGTACTATAAAACTGCTCTACATTTTAACTTCTTGTGATTGTTTTTGGTGTACTTTTTAAATTATAAAACTGTCGAGTCAGGAGGGTCTAAAATTGTAAACAATGAATATATACGTTGACTTGTAACGTTTAACGCATCATTTATTTCCGTTCCAATGGGCCGTGGGGCGTGGGCCCGTGGCCCGTGGGCCTCTCTTTTTGTTGAAAAAATACGTCTTCTCATATATACTAGCTAGAGAGTACTTAATATGTATTTAGTACATAGTAGAGCAGAATTCTCTCTCTCTCGGGTGTGCTTGTTACGACACTGATCACTGATCACTCTGTGTGAGTCTGTGAGACTGTGAGCGAGAGCTGGGAATAAATTCTGCAGATGAAGGTAAATTAGATGAAGTTAAATTTTAATATATATATAACAGTAAAGTATCGTCGCAGCTCGCGTCTCGCGGCTTTTTTTTCAGTATGCAGCTAAATAGATATGCTTTACCAAAGTATTTTTATAACTTTATAGATCCTTTTTTTCTTCTTCATTTTTTTCATTTTGATATATTTTCAAAAAAGCATATGTATGTATCGTGGAACAGTTTCCAGTGTGCACGGACTGCACACAGAACTGCGTACATATGATCCATACAGACTGTAAAGTGTGAAGTCTACACTCTATACACTCCACAGTCCTCGGTCCCCAGACCCCAGTGAGTTCGCACTCCACAGTCCTCAGTTCTACATATACTCTACTTACAGATTCCACCCAGGGCCCAGGGTCCAGGCACCAGGGCCCCAGGCCCAGTGTCCCTTACACTACATATGAATTTATCCACACTCTGTCACCAGTGAGCCAGTGATTCCAGTTTCCACAGAGACAAAGTCAGTCGGAAAGTCCATAGACTCCACACTCCACACTCCACAGTCTACGCTGCTGAAATCTGGCGGTACAGTGCACACTGCACACTCGCATCTGTCATCTCTCAGGTCACATGTGAGTTATGTCCAAACTATTGCAAAGACTATAGTTCGCAATTCTGCATTCTCAGATTCAGTTAACCTTCACTCACTCACTCTCAGCGTAGGCTCGCAGGCCGCACCGCCGCAGCCGGCGCAGCGGCGTAGCGGGCAGCCTCTCTGTCTTCTTTTTTTAAAGTACATTAGCACTACTAGTCAGTGACTCTGTGGTCAGTTATGACTTTTAATGTGAGTGTCTCTCTCCTACTCTCTCGCTACTCTCTCTAGCGATAGAGTACTGAGATACGAGAGCATGAACAATTGAACAACAGACGCTCCGGCACTACCTTTGGGCTTTGGGGCTTGGGGCCTTGGGTTTTAGAGTTTGGTTTAGACCAGGGCACCAGGCCCAAAGGCCCGTATTATCATTCTATTTTTTTTATAAATAAACCAATGGCTATAATTGATTTTATTATTATTAAATATTTACGTGTGCACTTGCTCCTCAAAATATTTTTTATAGTCAAGACTCGAAGGTGGTCTGTATGTATGAAACAATTATGAGAACAAGGAAAATGCACCGTCGACAGTGTCGAGTGGCGGCTCTGTTTTTTTATCTTTGTCGTCAGTGCACTATATAAATATCGGATACTGAAACTATCTTCGGTCATATTTGATGTTAAAGCCAAGCCATCATACAGAAGGCAAGGTATCAGTCTACAATTAAAAATATGAAAGTGTCTCAGGTGTTTGTCGTGGTTGTATCCGTATTGGCGGTATTGAGTGAGGGTTGCAGTTGCCCTGGACCTCTAACAACGAAGGAGGAATACTGCCAAGCATCGTTTGTGACGCTGGCTAAGTTCAAAAGCTATAGTGCCGCCACCGGAGAAGCGGAATTCAAAGTTTCCCATGTTCTGAAGGGTATCCCCGAAGACCAGACCACCATCAATGTAGTTGTAGGTGACGGAAGTATCAGTTGTGATCTCGATGGTGAGGGCTTCTTGAAGAATCGTCGGTACCTAATAGCGGGCAGTACTAAAGAAGGTCGTTACTTCGTGAACACAGGATGTGGTTATTTTGTGAGACGATGGAAAGAGATTCCTTTGCCTCAGCGTCGAGAATGGTTTCAAATTTATAAACTAGTCGAGGAGGAAGTATGCAAGGTGGAACGTCAGTGTCCAGAGAATTGTACCTCATACTTCGACGGTTGCAATCAATGTGGCTGCGATCTAGAAACCGGGAAGCTCACATACTGTACGGAACGTTTCTGCAGTCCAGAGGAACTTGAAGAGCCATCGTGCACATCGGAGATTGATCCGAATTGCAACCCCAATCCATGTGCGGAAGGTGAGACCTATCGACCTGGTAAGAACTTGTCTGAATATGTATACGACGCTCCGGCATCGCCCTGTGACACTGTGCTTTGTAATATAGGCGAGACATGCGAGACCATTCTGGGCGCAGCAGTATGTCGTCCCTTCACTACGTGTGCACAGGTGTTGTGTGAAGCCGGGGTGAGTGTGTGTACCGATGGACCTGATAGAGATGCAGAGTGTATCCCCAACCCTGTGCCTTGGTGAGGTGTGGGTTCGAAACTACCTGCGAAGTGGACGGGAATAATAACGCGATCTGTGTTCCGATCTACGACGCGTGTTCGTCTGCACCGTGCAAGTTCGGTGGTGAGTGCTCCGTTGACAAAGCTGGTGGATTCGTATGCGATTGTGCCGAGGGATACGCTGGTACGACTTGTGAGGAGAAGCCAGCTCCTAATACCTGCGGCAAAAACTGCGCAGCCTGGAACAACGGGTGCCAGCCTTGTGAGTGCAATGACGGCGTGATTGGCAAGTGCGATACAGACATTGTATGCATTCGTCAGGGAGAGCCGTTTTGTTCCTGTATAACATCGGGAGCGCCTCACTTGTGTGATACTGCCTGCAAAGATCACAACTATCTGAAAGACAAAGCCGGTTGCAATGTTTGTGAATGTGCATTGACCGCCTACTGATGATAAATCTGCCGAACTATAATATTCAAAAAGGTCATGGAAGAACGAGCAAAATGCCGTGAATTCAGGAACACAGTGGTGCCCACTTCTCAATAGCGTAGCAATAGTGATACGTGATTCTGAACACTCAGTTACCCAAAGCATATTTTTTTTTAAATATGAAAGGGCCGAATTGTTCATAGCCAATCTATCACGTAGATAATCCATGCGGTCAGTACACACACGCAGTTGGGTATGATCGAAAGTTTGTGACCACAGCACGCCGCGCAGCAACAGTGCCACGTTGCAAATATTCCACTTTTTTTGGAGTCGACAATGAGACTCGCGCTTGAAACTCAATGGGAACAATAATTTTATCGATAAGTCTATCAATTGCAAGTTAAAAGGTCATCTGTCGTCACTAAAATAAAGGTCATATGTCGTCATTCTCGTTTATTCCTACCAACATTTCGGCCACAACTTTATAGAGGAAGCATTCGTTGTCTACATGTTTTTTTAATCCACTGATGCGTCAAAGATTGCAAATCTAATCGAATTCAGAGCTTTGGTGCGTTCATGCACATGGCTGTGAGGCACGACAGGCGTGCACACAAGACTTCCCCTCACTATACAGGCTACTGTGTATGAAGTATGACTACCATCAGTCACCCACTTGGGTGGATTGAATGCTGATTCTTCATGCCATATGCACAGAAAGGTGTCACTTGCAAATCACCCGTGCAGACTGGAGCAGGACTGTGCGCTCACAGCCTATACGCATATGTACATAGTACCGTAATATGTGCTGCAATATCAGCTCGACAATCCCTTACTTTCGTTTTTTCTTGCGGAAAAAAGCTGTATGCCACAATCGTGACTTAAAGTTAGTGCTCCAGCTTCGCTTCATAACGTAAGCGGACATAATCAGCGAAGTAGCACCCATGATCCTCATCCCACAGAGACGCACAGGCAGCCTGTACTTCCTCTAGCACAGCCGCGCGAGTTTCTGCGTCAAAGCCCTGTTGATGGTACATGGCACAGGTAAGTCGAACGGCTATCTCAGTGCGAGACGACTGCATCTTGAGGGGATAGACATGTGTTCTGACATTGGACGAAAAGCGAGAGCATCGACAGACAGCGCTTGCATATGATGCTGAAATGGAGACCGTGGACGCACGTTTGAGACATGGATAACGTGGACTAGTGCGCATACATGCTGCTGTGCCCGTTCACAGTTTACCCGCCTGTTGACGTTCTAGGCCAATACACGGATGCAGCACGTACGCTGAGATTGATCGCGGTGTATACGTTTGAACACACGAGCTAGTACATGGTTGGTTCAGGTATAAGACATCGTACCCGTAAAGGCCCTTATCAAGTGCCAATAATTTAAGGACAACTGTGCTCAACCAACTGGGACACGCCGATGAAGCATAGGATTCTGCTCAGCTGCCGTGGTGGTATTGAGTGAGATGTATTGCATCTACACCAACAACTTCGGCGGCAGTGCACAACGTACGATGCAGAGACGTTCTTATTTAGGCACCTACGAGAATCAATTAATCTTAACAGATGGGCTGTGCTTAGGAGTTGTATACAAAGAACAGCGCACCGAACGCTTGACCCAGGACATCCATTCATTAGAGAAATCAATGCCGAAGATCGCCGCACCATGTGAAGAGGGGTACAAGCACTGAAGATAGAGATGAATGGAATTTACAGGCCAGGCCTAACAAATAGCAGAACTACCGCTCGGCTAGTCACTTGACATGCCCATACCACTAGAAATGTATTCCCAAAGAGATCCACCCAGTCCTTGACGTCGGTGGGGAGGCGAGTGGGTCTGGGTATCAATTCAATGGAGTTGATGGTGAAGCCATACTTGACCAGAAGTCGGCTCATGGACTCGACATCAGAGAAATTCCACGGATCTCTGGAGGAACCAATAGGAGGACGAGAAATTTAAAATATAAGTACGTATGTACTGCCCAGGTGTAAGTATTTGTAAGTTTATAGATAACCTTGGATAGTTGGTTGTATACAAATGTAGCGACACCTCCAGCGGGTGCGCACACTGCGGAGGTATCCCGGGCCTCGTCAATACGGAATGACATGAATCTTTCAAGCGATGAGAAAGCGATGCTAACTAATCGAATATACATTCATCCCATCTAGTAGTGATTGGCTATGGATGCCTAGATCTAGGTATGACATTATATGGGTATACCTCAGTACACACAATTGTTCTCTCAATACCACTGCACTTCAACCCAAATGCCAAGCTCAACACTCAGTATGACACACCGAGCTTCCAGATCAGTTATGCCTCTCCCTTGCAGTGCCGCATGCAGGGCTTCTCTTATCACTTTGATATTACCAAAGCCTCCCTGTTCGCAAACAAAGCGACCACCCGGCACAAGAGCTTTCTTTACACCTGAATAGAGTACAAGGTCAGCGGTCGATAGGTTAGACAAGGTAACGTCGTATATAAATTTATTGATATGGTGAAATGGTTGTATTCATTTACGTGAACCTTGATGAATATGCATCACACGTGCATACTCCTATGTGTATGAAAATATATGCGCAACGGCATATGTATACATACACGATCTCGAGTCGGATTGTATCCATGGTGGCTCTCAAAATAGACGCTTTCCCAATAAGATGCTGATTCGAGCTGTATATTAGCGTGTAGCTAGATTGATATAAATAAATAAAAAATATAACCAAATATAAACAAATATATATATGTGTGTGTGTGTGGGTGTGCGTGCGTGCGTGTTTATGTGTGTAATCTACGCATATACCTTTCACTGCAATATGTCAGCTACACACACGCCACCGGAAGCGCACGAATCCGTTTCCTTGACAACGAGTTTCTCATCGCAAGTCTAGGCTATGCAAAAACATACCTGCAATCACCTTGTCGTGGTCCTTACACCAGTGCAGTGCAGCGTTGGAGAAGACTGCGTCGAACTGATCGACAAACGTCAAGTCCTGCAAGGTGTGGCGGTAGTATTGGTATAACGATTCTCTGGATCCAAAACGTGATACAACATAAATCGGATTGTTGGCGCAGTCCTGCTGGGCGGATACTATGAGGTGCTTGTTCGCAGCCGACAGGGTTTACTGAAAACAAAGCGATACTGGATGAGAAAGCGTTCATACTACACACGCATTAAGCCGGTAGCCGGTAGGTTAAACTGTCCCGAGAACAGGTGGTAAACGAACGCTTTCGATACGCGGCTGCAGGTCTACTACTTTGTTCTATTCTTGTGTTGTGAGCAAGGGACATCGATGACATCATCACCAGACATCGATGACATCATCATCACCTTCTAATGCAATGGTCAGGGCACTCCATATGGGCTGCCTACCCACTACACCCTCCCCCACCCATGTTACAATAATAAGCAGCTAGCAGATACCGTCCATTATTTGCTATTTTATCCATGTTCACTGAACTTACAACACTAAGACACTGTCAACAGAAGGGTATTCCCGTCAAGGACTCGCAACAGAAGGAAGACCGTCAGCCAAATTCGCTGCGTCGGGAGAGTGTAAGCCAACCTTGTATGCTACACTGTCACTTTATAACTTCACCTCACACCACACACAATGAGTATCGATCCACAGCGGTATATGTACCCCAAAAGCGTCCCAGGCGTCTAACCAAAAAACAACCCCGATGTGTTGAAGGTCGAGTCCTCTCAATACGTACCCGCACATGCATGTGAAGTGTTTTGAAGTATATATCACGCCACAGAGCAAAACCAGAATACATCTAGGGACAGGTTCTGGAGTATGGCGAATCGATTCGCGAGGCGCAACTCGAAATGCCAGTTACTGAGCCTCTGAACTGAGTGACTTAAACGTGGTATGTTTACCAGCACCTGCCCCCAAAAAAACCACGTTTACGAAAGGGTCTCCTATCTAGATACATACCTCTGCATCCATGACCGCGGCATTGATACCATCATCCTTCATGGACTGCACCATTTCGGGGCTGAAATCAACACCGACAACATCGCAACCGATCTACTCATAGATGCCGTGAATGCGACAGATAAACATTAAAGCTTTTAATTGGAAGTCACCAACAAGCCGCAATCGGATGAATAGACAAATTATATCTGAGCAACATGGTACAGGCAAATCTGTGCGTGCTGGTTTGTCATTTTATTCAGACATGCTAAGGATGCACACATAATGGACACACATCGAATGGCTGGATAGAAATCGATGTACGCCAGAGGTTGCGCTTTCAAATATGTTAGTATATTAACACCTCCCGATGTGATATTATTGTGATCATAACGGGGGTAATCTCTGTCCGACGTACATACAATCAACACAAACGTAGATACATGTACAAGGGATTTAATATATTTATATTTATA